CAGTCATCCCCAGTGCACTCCAAGTTGCTCCCAGGATGATCCCAATCACCTCCAGCATGATCCCACTCACTCCTGGTATGATCCCAGTATGACCCCAGTCACCCTCAGTGTGGTCTCAGTTGCTCCCAGCATGGGCCAAACTGCTCCCACTGTGATCCCAGTATGGTCCCAGTTGCTCCCAGTTGCCCCTAGCACAGATCCAGTCACTCCAAGTATGATCCCAGTCCTCCCTCCTGACAGTCCCACTCAATCCCAGTTGCTTCTATTGTAAATCCAGTCACTCAATTCCTTCCAGTTGCCCCCAGCCTGGTCCTAATTCCCCTTCATGTAGTCCCAGTCACTCCCAGTACAGTCCCAGTTACCCCCACCATGGTTGCAGACACTCCCAGTATATCCCAGTAGAGCCCTCAGCATGCTCATAGTCCTTCCCAGTCACTCCCAGATGCCCCAGTAACATTCCAGTTTCCACCAGTATGATTCCAGTGACTCCAAGGCACTCCCACTATATCCTATGTGGCCTCCAGTTGCTCCCAGTAGCCCTCAGTGTGGTCCCAGTTGCTCCCAGTATGATCCCTGTTGCCCCATTTCTGGTCCTGGAGGGTCCCAGTGTGCTCAGATCCTGCTCCCGGGGGGTCCTGCTGGGTCCCAGTCCTGGTCCCAGTGTATCCCGGTGTCCTGGTCCATCCCAGTCTGTCCCAGTCCATTCTTGTCCATCCCAGTCTGTCCCAGTCTGTCCCAGTCCGTCCCAGTCCATCCCAGTCCATCCCAGTCCATCCCAGTCCGTCCCAGTCCATCCCATTCCATCCCAGTCCATCCCAGTCCATCCCAGTCCATCCCAGTCCATCCCAGTCCCTTCCCAGCAGCCGCCGCCGTTTCCCGGGTCCTGCCCCCCCGCCCCCCCAAGATGCTGACGGGGGTCGGGGCTCCGTCTTTGCCTTCGTCTCCCTGGGCCTGCCTGGAATGAAGGGGCCGCTGGGACACTGCGGGACCTCCTGAAACCAAAGGAACCCTGGGAGAATTTGGGTACTCCTGGAGTCAAGGCACAATTGGGACACTGCAGGGCCCTATGGAAAAAAAAGGAACCTTGTGACACTGCGGAATTCATGGAATCCAGGGGCCTTTGTGACAGGGGGGCCTCATGGAACCAAAGGAAGCCTGAGGTGTTTCAGAAGGTCATGGAATCAAGGGGCCACTGGGACACTGCAGGGCCTCTGGCAATTAAAGGAACACTGGGACACTGGGGCAGGACATCCCCCCTGCAATGGCCCCAAGACAATGCCCCATTTGCAAAGGGGTCAGTGCTGAGCTGAGAGGGGGCCAGGACAAGGCAGGAGATGTTGGACCCCAGACTGGTTTGACCCCAAATGAAGCCCCTGATGGTGAGGGAAGCCCTGGAGTCCAAGGACTGTCAGTCCATGGGTTTCTACCAGAAAGGGCCAGTCCCCTTTCCCAGGGGCAGGTTCTTCCAACAGAACCCTTCTTGGGGGTGTGTGGAGATTCCTGCCTTGGCTGGGGACCCCCCAAGGTCACTGCTGGAGGTTGAGAGCAGAGATCTCCCCACCAGCGCTGGTCTGGGGGAGTTCCATCCATCTCTAATTAAGAATTCTTGCTTGTTTGCCACCTTTAGTAGAATTGCTTCAGCAATTGCTTTAGTGTAGTGCCCTGCCCTACCTTATCCTGTACTACTGGTAGTTTTAGTGTGTATGTTGTATAGTAAATAATTCTGGTTTAGGCCTTTTGTCTGATCATTATTAGTAATAAGTAGTTCATTGATATAAATATATCTGCTTTTCCATCATTAAAACCTGTGGGACAAAACTGGTTCAATCCCATCTCTATAATTCCTTAAATTCAAAGCATTGGCATAACCCAAGGCTGAGATTGGATCCAGCTGCCCCCAGGCCCCTCTGGGGGCAGGAGTTTAGAAAGCCAGGGAGTCCGTTCTGCACCTCGGGACTCCAGAGCAGGACTTCTCCAATCAACTTTGTCTAAGCCTTGAACTCCCCCTGCCACAGGGGGGATGGGGAAAGGGAACAGGAAAGGGGAGAAAAGGTGGGAAAAAGGGGGGGTGGGACCCCTTCAGCTGAGGGGCCAAAGGGGTGGGACCCCCAAAGGGAGCACAGGGAAACTGTGGTTTAGTGGGACAATAGGAAAGGGGTGGGAGAGAAGGGAAAAGTGGTGGGCTGAGACCCCCAAAACTGAGTGTTAGGGGTGTTGGGACCCCAAAGTTATTGAGAGTGGGGTGGGAGCCCCAAACTGAGTGCAGGGGGGATGTGGGGGTTGTGGGGACCATAGGAAAGGGGTGGGAGAGGGGCAGAAAAGGGGGGTGGGACAGCAGGAAGAGGAGTCCCAAGGGGGTCCCTTGGTGTCCCCATCACTTGAGCCCTGGAGCAGTTCCCTGGGGCTCTGGGGGGGTTGGATCTGCACTGGGGGGGTCCCCAACCCCCCTGTCCATCCCTGAGGGGCTGATGGGGGGTTCCCCTCCACCCAACAGCCGGTGCTGCAGTGGCCACGGGGGAAAAGGTGGGAAAAGGGGGGTCTGGGGTGGCCCCTGAGCTCCCACCCTGCTGTGGGGTATCACAGCCAGCACGGCTTCCCCAGAGGAAAGGCCTGCTGATCAAACCTGAGTTACTTTATGACAACATCACCCCCTGGCTGATCAAGGGAAGCCAGTTGATGGGATCCTTTTGGGTTTCAGTGAAGCTTCCCATCGTGTCTGTGCCCAGATCCCTCTGGACAAAGTGTCCAGCCCAGAGCTGGATAAACACACCCTGTGCTGGGCGAGCAATGGGCTCCCGGGTCGGGCCCAGAGGGTGGCAGTGACTGGGGGGACATCAGATGGGGGTCACTAGGGGGGTTCCCCAGGGCTCCATCTGGGCCCTGTGCTCTCCAACATCTCCATCCATGACTTGGACGCAGCACTGGAAGGGACACGGAGCAAGTTTGCAGATGACCCCAACCTGGGAGGAGCTGCTGAGTCCCTGGAAGGCAGGGAGGCCCTGCAGAGAGACCTGGACAGATGCCAGGGCTGGGAATCACCCCCCATGGAAGTTCAACAAGGGGCAGTGCCGGATTCTGCCCCTGGGATGGGGCAACCCCAGATGTGGGGATAGAGTGGGAATGAGAGGCTGGAGACCAGTGCTGGGAAAGGGCCCTGGGGGTTCCGGGGGTGCCCACTTGGCCAGGAGTCAGCAGTGCCCTGGCAGCCAGGAGAGACAACCCTGTCCTGGGGGCATCAGGCCCAGCATGGCCGGGCCAGGGAGGGGATTGTCCCGCTCTGCTCTGCCCTGGGGCGGCCTCACCTCAATAGTGGGGCACTCGGGGGGGACACAATGGAAGGAAGAGATGGAGCCAGTAGAGAGTGGCCAAAGGAGGCCACCAGGATGGGGAAGGCTCTGCAGGGGAAGCCAAAGGAGGAGCAGCTCAGGGCACTTGGGGTGTTCAGCTGCACAAGAGGAGACTGAGGGGAGAACTCATGGCAGTTCCAACTTCCTCAGGAGGGGCAGAGGAGGGGCAGGCCCTGAGCTCTGCTCTGGGGGGACCAGGGACAGCCCCCAGGGAATGGCCTGGAGTTGTGTCAGGCCAGGCTCAGGTTGGATGTTAGAAAGAGGTTCTTCCCCCCCAGGGTGGTTGGCACTGAACAGGCTCCCCAGGGCAGTGGGCACAGCACCAAGGCTGACAGAGCTCCAGGAGAGTTTGGATGATCCTCTGGGGCACAGCCTGTGACTCTTGGGGATGGGCCTGGGCAGGGCTGAGGGTTGGACTTGATGATCCTTGTGGGGTCCCTTCCAACTCGGACATTCTTTTATTCTGGGATTCTCTAACACCCCACCTTTGCCTGCTTTGCTGCTTCTGTGAACCACGAGTTCCTTATAGAATTATAGAGTCATAGAATCAGCTGGGTTGGAAGGGACCTCTGAGATCATCAAGTCCAACCCTTGATCCAACACCACTGCAGTTACTAGGCCATGGCACTGATGCCACATCCAGTCTCTTTTTAAAAATCTCCAGGGACTGGGAATCCACCACTTCCCTGGGCAGCCCATTCCAATGTCTGACCACCCTCTCTGAAAAGAAATTCTTTCTAATATCCAACCTAAACCTCCCCTGGCACAACTTGAGACAGAGCCCTCTTGTCTTGCTGATGGTTACCTGGGAAAAGAGACCAACCCCCACCTGGCTCCCCCCTCCTTTCAGGTAGCTGTAGAGAGTGAGGAGGTCTCCCCTGAGCCTCCTCTTCTCCAGGCTGAACAACCCCAGCTCCCTCAGCCTCTCCTCATAGGACTTGTGCTTGAGTTCCTTCCCCATCCTCGTTGCCCTCCTCTGGACCTGCTCCAGGACCTCAATGTCCTTCCTGAACTGAGGGCCCAGAACTGGACACAGCACTCCAGGTGTGGCCTCACCTGCACTGAGTCCAAGGGAAGAATCACTTCCTTGGACCTGCTGACCACACTGTTCCTGATTGTATTAGGGAGGGTTCAAAACCATACTGAAACTCGAAACCAAGACACCGTTAAAAGCTTAACAAAAACCAGTATTTATTACCAAGAGGTGGCCAACAAAACGAACAAACCCAAAAGGGAGGAAGGAGGAGAGAAATAAGCCCCCAGTTACCCAGCTGTTGCCCATAAAGTTCTCTTACCGACCTAGCAGGCCTATAATTACCCAGAGCAGAAGCTGCATCCTTGGAGAGTCAGTAAGTTCACAAACTGGCAGGTATCCCTGCCAAAGGCAACGTTGTCCTTGGTGTGAAGTTAGCTCTTCCCAAGAAAACACTATTCTACTTTTATACAATTAACTGAGTGGCCACAGCCTCCCAGGTGTGGCCAGCACCGCCCAGCCCGAGGCCCTCAGTCCCACCCCCGGTTATGTCAGTGCATCTCTTCTGAGCACATGTGAGAACTTTGGAAATCCCCTCACGCACACACAGTGTGTTTTGGGGGTCTTTCTTAACTGAGTCTGGGGCCGAGCCTTCCTCATCCTCCTCCTCAATCTCTCCTTCAAGCGACCTTGGAGGACAACTGGCCAATCACAGAACGCCAATTAAAACAGTTTATACACAAGTTCTCCCTCCAAGGATGAATTCACTGTTTTATCAGTGAACTTGGCAGGGAGAATATAAACTCCTGCAGGTGGCTGGGGCCAAACACAGACCAAAAGTATCAGCATAAATTCACCCTGGTACAGATAGGCAGGCGCAGGGAAAGCCACGTGTGCGCAGAAGAGATGCACTGACATAACCAAGGGGTGGGACTGAGGGCCTCGGGCTGGGCAGTGCTGGCCACACCTGCCAAGGTTGAGGTCACTCAATTAATTGTATAAAAGCAGATAGCTCTTTTTTTGGAGGGGAGCAAGCTTCACATCAAGGACAATGTTGCCTTTGGCAGGGACGCCTGCCAGTTTGTGAACTTACTGACTCTCCAAGGATGCAGCTTCTGCCATTGGTAATTACAGGCATTCTAGGTCAGTGAGATAACTCTATGGGCAACAGCTGGGTGACTGGGGGAGGTCATACTAGGGGCTTATTTCTCTCTTCCTTCCTCTCCTTTGGGTGTGTTCGTTTTGTTGGCCACCTCTTGCTAATAAATATCAGTTTTGTTGAGCTTTCAACGGTGTCGTGGTTTCAGCTTCAGTATGATCCAAACCCCTCCCCAACACAGCCAGCCAAAGGGATGATGGATTGACAGGCCCAGTTCTCTGCAAGAGAAGTTGAGGGCTCTGAGCCAGAGAGGGGATGAGAGCCGGGTACAGGCTTGGGAATTGCCAGGAGGGCTTTTGAAAGGAGCGTAGGGGAAAGGGATGTCTAAGAACAAGTCCCTTAGGAGAGGAAAACAGAGAGGCTGAGTTTTGACCCCAGCAAAAAGATGTGCAGGGCAGAGCAGAGAATATGCCCACATAAGATTCTTGTGTGTCCGTCTTTGCAGTTCTGACAGGCACTTCTTGTCACAGCCTGTCCTCTCCATTCCAGAATAGGCCCTGGCAACCAAAGAACCAACACCCCACACCATAGTGCAGACCAACCCATGTGCTTTGGGCCTTTTGTTGTCCTATCCATTCTGGCCTATCCTCTCCATTCTGGAATGGCCTCTGGAAACCAAAGAACCAACACCTCACACCCCCACAGTGCAGCCCCACCTGTCTGCCACGGGACTCTTTGGGATGTCACGGCCTTTCCCCCAGGAAAGAAAGCCTGGAACCTTCAGGTTTCAGATGCAGTTGGGGGGCCACCCTGGGCACTCCATGGGCAGCAAGAGCTTTCTGTCCTGGCCCTTTTTGTCTGGCAGGAATCTTCAGCTGTGTTCAGTTTGGGCAGTCAGACTGGCAATTTCAGCACAGGGCTCCTGCAAGTGAACGACAGCCCTTCCCTCCAGGAAAGAAACCCCTTACCCTCGGTCTCTTCTCCTGTTCCTTAAAACACAACCTGCAGGGGAGCTTTCTGGGATCTCTTCTCTTGGGAATTGGGAAGACAGACCCACTCCCATGTTTAACACCTCAGGCAAAACCACCCTTTGAACACCTTTCCCAACCCTCCCCAACCTTTCCCAAAGCCCAGATTTTACAGGTGTCCTGTAATTCTGGCCCAATCTCACCCAAGCCCACAAACCAGGACAGAAACCTCTCAGCCTCACGCTGCGTCCTTCCCAGTGCTGTGCCTTATGTGCAGGCAAAAGGCCTTAAAATCAAGGACCCAAAATTCATGGCCTGTTCTTTTTCCCAGAAAAGAAGGCGTGGTGAACTCTCCAGACCAGGGCACTGGAAGATCTCCCCAAAACTCCTTTGGTACACGCTGCAGGGCCAACGATTCCTCTGCTCTGCCCTGTCGGCGCTGCTTTGTCTCATCTGGGTCCCCAGAAACTGTCAGGGAAAGCCGGGGAATAAAATCTCTGAGCAGTTGGTTGGGTTCCAGAGGTGACCCTACTTCATTCAGCACTGAAGGGACACAGGAATTGCTCTCTAACACCTGTACATCAGTTCTCAAAACTTTTAACTCTTTTTACATTTTAGCAGACAAAGGAATTCCTGTCCATTGGCTTACCAGTTCTCTGCAGGAATTCTTCTTCTCTCTTCTATTGGTTCTTGATTTCTCACTTTGCATGATACTTAGTCACAGTTTTTGTCCTTTTCTTGTCTTTTCCCTAGATAGGGAGAGCCTCAGTAACTGTCTGTGTTAATTTTGTCTTGTTAATAATGTGGCAGCAGGAGCAGGGCAGTGATGCTTCTGCTGGACTGGGCACTGGTGAGGCCACCCCTGGCGTGCTGTGTTCAGCTCTGGGCCCCTCAATTCAGGGAGAACCTTGAGGGGCTGCAGTGGGTGGAGAGCAGGGCAGTAAAGCTGGGCAAGGGTCTGCAGTGCATGGCCTGTGAGGAGCAGCTGAGGGAGCTGGGCTTCTCCAACCTGGGGAAGAGGAGGCTCGGGGCTGACCTTCTCCCTGTCCACAACTTCCTGACAGGAGGCTGGAGCCAGGTGGGGGTCAGCCCCTTCTCCGAGGCAACAGGCGACAGGACAAGAGGACACGAGGACCTGCCTGTCAGGGGCTGTTTGTCAGGGACAGGAGCAGGACTTTTTGGAGAGAAACAGGGATTAGGTATTGAAATGGGCTGCCCAGGGAGGTGGTGGAGTCAGCGTCCCTGGAGGTGTTTAAGCAAAGACTGGCCATGGCACTGAGTGCTGTGGTCTGCTTGACGTGCTGGGGATGGGGCGTAGGCTGGACCCCGGTTGATCTCCCAAGTCTCTGCCAAGCTCATGGACTCTGGGCTTCTGTGCCAGCCCAGCCTTTGGGGACAGCGTGCTGGTGGCTCCGAGGCTCCGTCCTTGCCTTGCCTTGCCCATCTCCTGGCTGGTTCAAAGGGGTCCCAGTACACTTTGGGATGTGTTGGATGCCGTGTTGGGTGCAGCTGTCCCCCCAAAGCTCCCTCAGAACAGGGTGACACAAGGGGGGGGCACAGAGGGGTCCCCATTCCTGATCCATCCTGGAGCAACCACACTGGGGGCAACTGGGATCAGAGTGGGAGCAGCCAGGCCCCTGCTGGGTCATACTGGGACCATACTGGGAGTGACTGCAATACTACTGGGAGTATGTTAGAGGGACTGCAACCATACTGGGATGACTGGGATCAAACTGGATTTGTACTGCAAGTGTCTGCAAGTTCCTGGGGTCATACTGGGACACATACTGGACACATACTGAGATCATCCTGGGAGCAACTGGGACCATTCAGGGGCAAATGGCCTCCTCCAGGCAGTGACTGAAAGTGCCTGGGGCCAGACTGGACTCAGACTGGGAGTCCCTGAGAGGGAAAGGAACCATCCTGGGGGGGACTGGGAGCAACTGGGACCACCTTTGAGGGCAATTGGGATCCAATTGGGAGTGACTGGGAGTGACTGGGCCAGCAGCCGCTGCTGGCGGGGCCCGGCAGGCCTTGGCTGGGGGGAGCCGGGCGGCCTCTGCGCGTCCCGCGCTGGGGAGGGGACAGGAGAGGCAGCACAGTCAGGGCAGGGCTGCCTTGAGTCAATCCTCTGCTGCTTTACAATCTCCTCCAAATTCTTTGGATTTCTTTGGGGGAACTTTGTTCAACTCAGCTCTGTGCTGCTCAGCGAGAGCACTTTCCTTGACCGGGCAGGAATTCTCACCCTCCCCATTGCTCTCAGCCTGAACCCTGGACAGCTCTGAGGTCCCAAAGGGCTCCCTGTGCCCCAGTGCAGACTCAGGAGCGCTGCTCTGCCCACAAGTGACCTGCTGCTCAGCACACAGGTTCCCTGTGCTATTTGCACCTCTCTCTTGCTGGATGATCCACTTCAAAGATGCCTGGAAAAAAAAGTGGGTTTTTGTGAAGACTCCACTTGCAAAATCAATTCCTCCCAACTCTTCCCTCTTTCCCTGTGCAGCTGAGCAGAGGGCGATGCAGAGGAGTGCTCAGGCTCTGCTGCCTGGAGCTGTCCCTGCCAGCAGCTGCTTCCCTGTGCCCAGGGCTGGGCCCTGGCAGTGCCTCCAGAGCCCATCCCAGCCCTGGGTGCTCAGCTCTGCCCTGCAGAGCCCTCCCAGCACAGGGCACTCTGGTGCCAGGGGCACCTCTGGCTGGGCAGGCTCTGATGGTAACGTCAGAGCAACCCTGAGGAGGCTGGAAAAGCACCACTGCTGCTGCCTGTGAGGCCCAGGGGGTTGATTTCTGACACTCCCTGTGCCATTGCCCTCGAAGAAGAACAGCTTTGGATTTTCCATGCTTCCTCCTGAATGGAGACATGAATTGATCTTTCTCACTGCCCGTCCCAGGGAACCCGAAGCAGAACACTGGAAGTACAGGATCCTTCCCTTTCAGGATGTCCCTGCCTTGCTGCATTTCTTGAAAATTACTCTTAGAAACCTCCAGCAGTGCCCTCAGCCCTGCTGGGCTGTGCAGAGGAGCTGCTCCTGGGCAGAGCTGTCTCTCTGCAGCGCTGCCCGCTTGCCAGGAGCTCCCTGTGTGCCAGGAGCCCGGCCCAGCTCAGCAGCACAGACACAGCCCCAGGCACTGAATGACCCTCGGGGGTTGGGGATGAGTCCCTGAACATCAGACAAAGAGCAAGTTCAAGAAACCTCTGAAGAATTCCAAGTCAGATCCAAGTCCACAGTTTCTCCTGGCGTTAATGGGTCCCACTGAGGGCCAGCACTCAGAAATTGTCCCCTGCTTCCAGTTAGAGCCAAAAAGTGGAGGCAGTGAAGACAGGTGGGGACAAGCAAAGTCCCGGGGTCTCTGATGCTGAATAAATCTGGCTTTGTTTTGTTCTTGCAAAGGGCCAAGGCCTGACCCCCAGCCCTGGGAAGGGAGATCCTGTGCCTGCCTCATTCCTCAGGGCTCTTGCTGGGGCTCTGGGATGTGGGGATGTTCAATGGCAAGGGCAGGAGCATGGGGCAGCACCTCTGTCTCAGTTGGATGAGACTGAAGTGTTTTGCTGAGGGAGATGAGTTATGAGGAAAACCAAACTCCTCCCTCTAAGCAACTGTAAATCGGAAATGAAGAGACTCCAATTGAGGAAGTATGGAGAAAGGAAAAATAACAGCTCTTTATTAAAGGATATCTGTGTATTGGCAGAACAACAAAAAGGGGAAAAAGTGGAAAAGGAGAAAAAGGGGCTCTTCCCACGAAACTCCCGCTGTCTGGGGCTGGCTGTGGCCGGGAATTCCCCCTTTTGGCCGATGAACACATGCCACTGCCAACACGGGAGCGCAGGAGGGAAAGGGCGACCTCCTCCCCAAAAGGTTCCTCTCTAGGGGGGTCAAACCTCTCCCATGAAGTCCGAGCAGGTCCGGGCTGGGGGCAGAACAGGGCGCAGGAAACGAAGGCAAACGGGAACCAGCAAAGAGCCAGATGAGCAGGCCGAGAACAAAAGGACCTCGCAGCCTCTCCAACACACCCCTGGCCTGAGTTAAGGCCAAAGGGAAGGGCCTTGCCCTTTGCCCAGGAGAAAGCAAAAAACTCCACCCCCCCAGAGCCTTCTGAGGGTTCCCAACCTGCAATGTGGGCTGGGCCAGTTCTTTTGGGGGTGTGAGTCACCCAAGGCAAAGCCCCCTCCCCCATTGAACATCTTTCTTTTCCAGAGGGGCAGGGGAAAGAAAAATTCCTGCTTGGTTTTTTAGAAGAAGTAAAGCTGTGACAGGGATCCCCTCCCCCCTGCCCTCACTGCCCCCCAATAACAGGGACTGGGGAGAACTGGGAAGCTTTCCTGGGAACACTGGGAGCAGCCGGCTGGGGTCAGAATAAAAGCAGGGCCGGGGGGGACACACGACCCCCCAAACTCATTGTGGGGATGGACTGGGGGGTCCCGGCTGGGCCCGAGGCCACGGGGAGGGGCTGCGGCCGCCGGTGGCTCAGGAGCTCTGTGGGGAGAGAAAAGGGGGTGAGAGCGGGGTGGGGGGACAGGGGGGGCACAGAGGCTGTGGGAAAGGGGGGGGACACGACCCCCATTTGGGGATCCCCCTTTACCTTCTCCTGCAGGTAGAAGCCGAGCCCCAGTGCCAGGAAGACCAAGCCCAAGACAAAGCCCCCGACCCCCACCAGGATCTTGATGTGGACGGTGTCCGGTGGCATCTCTGGGGGGAGCCGGGGGGGTCAGCACCCCCAAAACCTCCCAGAGACCACCCAGGACCCCACAAACCCCATCCTAGTCTCTCCCAGCCCACCCAGGACTCCCTGAAACCTCCTGCCAGTCCCTTCCCAGCCCTTCTGGGATCCCACCAAGCTCCTCCCAGCCCCTTTAGGACCCTCCAACCCCCCTCTCATCACTCCCAGCACCCCCCAAAACCCCTCCAAGTCACTTCCCAGCCCCCTCAAGACTTCTCTGAACCCCTCCCAGTCAACCCAAGACCTCACAAACTTCCTTCCAGCCTTTCCAGACCACTCCTGCAAACTCCCTCCCAGTTACCCCCAAGACTCCCCAAGGCCCTTCTCAGTCCTCCCAGCACCCACCAACCTCCTTCTCAGCCTCTCCATTGCCCCCCAAATCCTTCCTGTTCCCCCCCAGACTCCCTCCCAGTCGCCCCCAGTTGCCCCCTTTCCCCCCCGGTCCCCCTGCCAGTGTGCCCCCGGTGCTGGGGGGGCCGGGCTGTACCCCAGTGCCGGCTGAGGGGGTGCTCCAGGCTGACGTGCTCCACCTGGCAGCTGTAGGTGACCCCGCGCCGGGGGGGGATTTCCAGCAGCACCAGCACCTGGTAGCTCCAGTCCCCGTTGGGGATCACGTCGGTGGCCACCACGTGCTCCAGCAGCTCCTGCCCATCCTGGAACCACCTCACCTGCACCGGCGCAGGGTAGAAATCCATCAAGGAGCAGAGCAGGCGGCCGGGGCCGGGCTGGGAGCTCGACGGCACCAGTGAGATGGACACGCTGGGGGGCACTGGCAGGGACGGGGGAGACACTGGGCTGAGCTGGGGGGCACTGGGAGGGAAGGCAGAGGGCTTGGAGGGCATTGGTAGGGATTGGGATGGCACTGGGAGGGACTGGGATGGCAGAGGGAGGGACTGGGAATAGACTGGGGTAGAAGGGGATGGGCTGGGGGGGCACTGGGAAGAGAGTTGGGAGATGTGGGAGTGAAGTGAGAACGACTGGGAATGGACTGAGGGGGTCTGGGAATGGAGTGAGAGGCACTGGGAATGACTGGGTAGGACTGGGAATGAGAGGGCTGGCCTGGGAAGGAAGCGATGTGGACTGAGAGGCTGAGTCGTGGTGAGGGAACTCTTTGGTTTGGGTCTGCCTGGCAACTGGAGCGTCATCAGAGAGACGCGCTGGGATTGGCTGAGGGGCGTGAGCTCGGTGGCCCCAGCGGGGTGGAGACGCGGGGGGCACTGGAAGAGACTGGGATGGACTGGGACGGGGTAAAATGGCATGGGGATGGGCACATGAAGGACTGAGGGGTCTGGGGTGATTCCCAGGGAGGGTTTTTAGAGGCTCCAGGGCCATTTCCGAGGCAGAGCCTGAGGGTACCCGCTCTGTCCCAAGCTCACCTCTCCTCTCCACGCTGAACGGGGTGACCAGCTCGTAGTTGTGCCGGCAGACCGTGTCCGCCACAGCCCGCATGCGCTTCATGAATTGTTTGTCTCTGTTCCGCGGCCTGGCCCACATCTCCTCCCCATACGGGGTGTCCCCCACATAGACCCCCACATCGCTGTCGAAGTGCACGTACTGCTCCCGGTTGTAGATGTACCTGTGCACGAACCTCACCTGCTCGGTGCCGTTGATGAAGTGACACTCGTACATTGTCAAGTGCTGGAACACCCCTGTGTGTGCAGGACACGGGTCAGAGGCTCCCCCGTCCCCCCCATCATCCCCCAGCCCCCCACAGCAGGGTGGGAGATCAGGGGGCCACCCCGGACCCCCCTTTCCCACCCCCCTCTGCCCCACGGACGCCCCAGCACCGGCTCTTGGCTGGGGGGGAACCCCCCCATCAGCCCCCCGGGGATGGACAGGGGGGTTGGGGACCCCCCAATGTGGATCCGACCCCCCCAGAGCCCCAGGGAACCGCTCCAGGGATCAAGGGACACCCAGGGACCCCCAGGGCACCCCTCTGCCTGCTCTCCCACACCCCCTTGCCCCCCTCTCCCACCCCTTTCCCACTGGCCCCCACAATCCCCAGACCCCCCCAACCTCACTTTGGGGCTCCCACCCCCCTCCCACTCACTCCGGGCCTTCCAACCCCCCTCGCACTCACTTTTGGGGCTCCCAACCCCTCTTTTCTCCCCTCTTTCCCCCCTTTCTCACCCGACCCCCCTGCCCGCCCCCCCCGCTCACCCGACAGCTCCTCGCCCGCAGCCGGGGGGGCTCCCAGCACCACCAGCACCGCCAGCACGGCCCCAGCTCCCCGCACACGCTCCATGCCCAGCGCCGGACAGCTGCTGACAGCCCAAACCAGCCGGGCGGCGCCGTTTTGGGGGGTTTGGGGCGCGCTGGGCTTGGCTGAGGGCGCAGTTGGGGCCCTTTTTTGGAGGCGTCTTCCCGGCGACTGATGAGTCATCAGCGCGGCGCGCTGGGATTGGGCGCGGGCGGCGTGGGCGCTTTGGGATTGGCTGAGGGCCGTTGGGGGCCCCCGCGGCAGCCCCGGGGCTGGGGGGGTCCAAGGTGGGTTTTGGGGGGTCCCGGATTCCTGGAGATGGGATTTAAGGTGATCTTGATACGTTGGAATGAGGTTTTGGGTGGCCGCGGGTGCCTAATAACCTAATTTTGGGGGTCTTGGAGTGCCCAAGCCCCCCTGTTCCCAGGAGTTTTACGGTCTAGGAGTGTCCTAACTCCTCTTTTTAAATGTTTTGGTGTCTGGGAGTGCCCAAACCCTTCTGATTTCACAATTTTGGGGGCCTGGGAGTACCTGAACTTCTCTTTTCCAGGATGTTTTGAGGGCTGGGAGAGCACAACCCCCCCTGTTCATGCTGGTTTAGGAGGATGACATTTGTCCAAACCCCATTTTCCTAGGATTTTTTGGGTCTGAAGGTGCCCAAACCCCCCTGTTCCTCGGATTTTTGGGGTTTGAATATATCCACCCTCCCCCCAGTTCTCAGGAGTTTTAGGGTCTGGGAGTGTCCTGACCCCTCTTTTCCAATATTTAGAGATCTGGGAGTGCCATAAACCCCATATTCCTGGGATTTTAAGGGTCTAGGAGAACCCACACCCTGATGTCCCCAAAATTTTTGATGTCTGAATGTTCCCAACCGCCCTGTTCCTTGGTTTTTGGAGGGCTGGGAATGTCCAAACCCCCAGTTCCCGGGATTTTTAGGGTCTGGATGTGTCCAAACCACCTTTCTCCAGGATTTTGGGGGTCTGGGAGTGCCCCTGTTGAGCAAAAACGAGCTCAGGGCGGTCTCTGATTGGCTGAGCCCGATCGGGGCTCAGTTCGGGACTCGTCTACCCGGCAACTGATGACGCAACAACAGCGCTCGCTCCCATTGGCTGCTGCTGCTTCTGACCCCGCCCGGGCCTTGGGGGGGTCCAAGGTGGGTTTTGGGGGTTCCAGGATTGCTGGGGATGGGGTTTGGGGTGACCTGGGTACGTTGGAATGAGGTTTTGGGTGGCTGCTGGTGCCCAATAACCTCCTGTTCCCAGGATTTTGTGGTTCTGGGAGTGCCCAAACCTCCCTGTTCCCAGGACTTTTAGGGTCTGGGAGTGTGTAAGCCCCTCTTTTCCAATATTTTGGGCTCTGGATGTGCCCAAACCACCTTTCTCCAGGATTTTGGGGGGGAGTGTCTTATAAACCCCTGTTCCTGGGACTTTGTGGGTCTAGGAGTGCCCAAACCCTGCCTATTCTCACAATTCTGGGGATCTGAGAATTCCCAAGTCCCCGTTCTCGCAATTTTTGGGGTTTGTTAGCAGCTAGACCTCTCTTTTCCAGGATTTTTGGGGGCTGACAATGCCCAAACCCCCCCGTTTATGGGAGTTTAGGGTGCTGACATTTGAACAACCCCCCCTTTTCCCAGGATTTTGTGGCTCTGGGATTGCCAAAACCACCCTGTTACCAGGATTTCTGGAGACTGGGAGTGTCCATGCCCCTCTTTTCTGATATTTTGGGATCAGGAAGTGCTCAAACTCCCCTCTTCCCAGGATTTTCAGGGTCTGTGAGTACCAAAGGGCCCTGTTCTCAGGATTTTTGGGCACTGGATATGTCCAAACCACCTTTCTCCATGATTTCGTAGTTCTGGAAGTGCCCGAACTGACCTGTTCCCAAGAGTTTTAGAGTCTGGGAGTGTCCAATCCCCTCTTTTTCAATATTTTGGGATCTGGATGTGCCCAAATCCCCCTGTGCAAGGATTTTGGGCCTCTGCATATGCCCAAACTACCCTTCTCCAGGATTTTTTGCGTCATGGAGTGTCCAAACCCCCTGTTCTCAGGATTTCTGGAGTCTGGGAGTGTCCAAGCCCCTCTTTTCCAATATTATGGGATCTGGGAGAGCCCAACACCCCTGTTCATTTGTCCTGGGGGCCTGACATTTCTCCAAACGCCTATTTTCCCAGGATATTCAATGTCTGGGAGTGCCCAAACCCCCCTTATTCCCAGGATTTTCGGAGTCCCCCAGTTGTCTCCCAATAACCAGGACTGTAGAGAACTGGGAAGCTTTACTGGGAACACTGGGAGCAGCCGGCTGGGGTGCAAACAAAAGTAGGGCCGGGGGGACACACGACACCCCAAAAGTGTGGACAGGGTTGGACTGGAGGGTCCTGGCTGGGCCCGAGGCCACGGGGAGGGGCTGCGGCCGCCGGCGGCTCAGGAGCTCTGTGGGGAGAGAAAAGGGGGTGAGAGCGGGGTGGGGGGACAGGGGGGGCACAGAGGCTGTGGGAGAGCAAGGGGGGGGCCACGACCCCCATTTGGGGACCCCCCTTTACCTTCTCCCGCAGGTAGAAGCCGAGCCCCAGTGCCAGGAAGACCAAGCCCAAGACGAAGCCCCCGACCCCCACCAGGATCTTGCTGCAGACGGTGTCCGGTGGCATCTCTGGGGGGAGCCGGGGGGGTCAGCACCCCCAAAACCTCCTCCCACGCACCCCCCGGCACCCCACAGAGCCCAGCCCGCTCTCCCCCAGCCCACCCGGGGGTCCCTCAAACCTTCTGCCAGTCCCTTCCCAGCCCCTGCAGGGATCCCACCCAGCCCCTCCCAGACCCTTTAGGACCCTCCAACCCCCTCCCATCACCCCCAGCACCCACCAAACTCCCTCCCAGTTGCCCTTGGACACTGGGCTGAGCTGGGGGGCACTGGGAGGGAGGGCAGAGGGCTTGGAGGACATTGGGAGGGACTGGGATGGCAGTGGGAGGGAGTGGGAATAGAGTGGGGGAGAAGGGCATGGGCTGGGGGGCCACTGGGGAGAGAGTTGGGAGATGTGGGAGTGAAGTGAGAACGACTGGGAATGGACTGAGAGGGTCTGGGAATGGATCGAGAGGGACTGGAAGTGACTGGGAAGGACTGGGATGGACTACTCTGGCCTGGGAAGGAAGCGATGGGGACTGGGAGGCTGAGTCGTGGTGAGGGAACTCTTTGGTTTGGGTCTGCCTGGCAACTGGAGCGTCATCAGAGAGACGCGCTGGGATTGGCTGAGGGGCGTGAGCTCAGTGGCCCCAGCGGGGTGGAGACGCGGGGGGGGCACTGGGAGAGACTGGGATGGACTGGGATGGACCACGAAAAACTGGAATGGACTAGGAGAGACTAGGGGGCATTGGAAGGAGTGGAGGAGACTGTGATGGACTGGAATGGGTCAAAAGGCCACGGGAAGGGGCACAGGGAGGGCTGAAGGGTCTGGACTGATTCCCAGGGAGGGTTTGAGGGGCTCCAGCTTCATTCCCGGGGCAGGGCTCAAGGGGACCCGCTCTGCCCCACGCTCACCTCTCCTCTCCATGCTGAACGGGGCATCAAGTTCGTAGTAGGGCCAGCAGTACGTGTCCACAGCAGACCGTGCATACTCTAGCCTTCCTGGGAGACTGTTCAAGTTCCTGGCCTGGATCTCCCCAAACGGGGTGTCCCCCACATAGACCCCCAAATCGCTGCTGAATTGCAGTTGCTGTTCCCGGTTGTAGATGTGCCTCTCCATGAACCTCACCCGCTCGGTGCCATTGATGAAGTGACACTCAGCCTTGAACATCCTCTGGAACACCCCTGTGTGTGCAGGACACGGGTCAGGGGGTGCCCCGTCCCGCCCCCATCATCCCCCAGCCCCCCCCAGCAGGGTGGGAGCTCAGGGGGCCACCCCGGACCCCCCTTTCCCACCCCCCTCTGCCCCACGGACGCCCCAGCACCGGCTCTTGGCTGGGGGGGAATCTCCCCATCAACCCCCTAGGGATGGACAGGGGGGGTTGGGGACTCCCCCAATGCCGATCCCATCCCCCCAGAGCCCCAGGGAACCGCTCCAGGGATCAAGGGACACCCAGGGACCCCCAGGGCACCCCTCTACCTGCTCTCCCACACCCCCTTGCCCCCCTCTCCCACCCCTTTCCCACCGGCCCCACAATCCCCAGACCCCGCCCCCTCACTTTGGGGCTCCCAACACCCTCCCACTCACTCCGGGCCTTCCGACCCCCCTCGCACTCACTTTTTTGGGGCTCCCACCCCCTCTTTTCTCCCCTCTTGCCCCCCTTTCCCACCCCCCCGCTCACCCGACAGCTCCTCGCCCGCAGCCGGGGGGGCTCCCAGCACCACCAGCACCGCCAGCACGGCCCCAGCTCCCCGCACACGCTCCATGCCCAGCGCCGGACAGCTGCTGACAGCCCCAAACCAACCGGGCGGCGCCGTTTTGGGGGGTTTGGGGCGCGCTGGGCTTGGCTGAGGGGGCTCCCATCCCCAAAAGGCTCCCAAAAAACTCCCTCCCAGTTGCCCCCAGGACTCCCCAAAGCCCCTCTCAGCCCTCCCAGCACCCACCAACCTCTTCTCAGCCTCTCCATTCCCCCACAGACCCTTTCCCTTACCCCCCAAACTCCCTCCCAGTTCCCCCCAGGGCCCCCAGAGCCCCTCACCCCCCTCCCAGTGTGCCCCCGGTGCTGGGGGGGCCGGGCCGTACCCCAGTCCCGGCTGAGGGGGTGCTCCAGGCTGACGTGCTCCACCCGGCACCGGGGGGGATTTCCAGCATCCCCAGCACCTGGTAGGTCCAGTCCCCGTTGCCTCAAGAGAGCGCAGAGGAAAAGACTCCAGGCCAGGGGAGTGGATGAGATGAGATAAAGAGAGCAGGTCCTGTAGTGGAGCCTCAGGCCAGGGGAACACACACGACGGGCACCCCCCAGGCAGTGGCTCTGGGATTTTAGAACAAGGTCCATCCAACCCCAGATCTCTCCACCCCCCACTTCTGCCCCGTTCTGCCCCCGACACACCCCTTTGGGAATTGGGCTTGGGGTCTTTGGGACCCCTTCTTCCTCAGCTTCATCTTCTTCGCAGCTCCCACAGTCCTTGGAGCTCCTCCCGAGTTCTGGGCTTGAAGGTGGCTGTGTCTGTGGGATGTCTTCTGGTCCAGGCTTTTCTACAATTCTGCCTTGAAAAGAAGACTAAACGCGCTAACGGGATTTAGAGGGGTTGATATGGGATGGGGTAACAGGGTTGGGGATGTCCAAACATTATGCTACAGGGTAAGGGATAGAATGCAGCTCCATTAAAATCTACAATCACTACACCACTACTTCTAAAATCTACCAAAGTTAAAAATTCCAAAAAACTCTGAGGCATCACACCTCTTCTTTTACAGTTCTATCACAACTTTTTATAAGTCAATCATATTATATTATAGAGCTCCATTTCTATGTTGTTAGGTACACCTTTTATATACTTTTATATAACTTTTATAAACTTTTTAATGTATTAATAAAATCCCAGGGATCTTGCTTGGAACTCCCCGCATCCAGGGACCGAGAGGATCTCCCTGAATAACTTTCAGTGGGCACTGGAATCCTCAGGGTCCTGGAACCCCTGGAGCATCAACAGCTTTGTCCCTCCAAAGGGGTCCCAATTTGTTTCCAATGGTTCAAGAATACAAAAATAAACCAAACACCAGTTTCCAAAACCAAATCAACTTATAAGTCCAGAAATCACAAGTTAATATCCAAAATAGCAGAAAGGATTTCTTCAAGATTCTTTCTTTGCAACCTGAAGTACCCATTATACAAAAGAAACCAAATACCTGTTTCCAAAACCAAATAAACCAAAGACCAGTTCCAGAACCAAATAAACCAATGAGTCCAGACTCCCAAATTAATATCCAAAATCATGGCTGGGCTTCGCGAACGAAGATTTGGGAAGGGCTCTGCCCACATTTGCTACAAGCACACTGGTGGCTAAAGAGGCCAATACGAGACAGACACGTCCAGTTGCAAAAGGCAGAGCAGAAAGACTCCTTGGATGGGATCGACAGGACACGGTTCTTTCTGCGTTGTCTTTTCTCCTCGATGGTGATCCTGCTGCGTTCTCAAAGGAAGCAGCAGCGTTAGAGATGGGGTGTCTCCAGACCTCCCGACTGGAGGCCAGAGTAGACCAGGGATGAAGATCAATGTGGCCAAGGCTGAGATGTTGTTTCAGGCAGTCCTTGTATCTCCTCTTCGGGGCTCCTCTCTTGCGGCAGCCGGTGGCAAGTTCACCACAGAGCACGATCTTAGGGAGGGGGTGGTTGGTCCTTCATCCTGGAGACGTGCCCTGCCCAGCACAGCTGTGTTCTCAGCAACGTGGCCTCAATGCTTGTGACTGCTGCCTGTTCTAGAACAGATGGATTGGTCACATCATCTGACCAGGGGATGTTTAGGATTGTACAGAGGCAGCGTTGATGGAAGCATTCGAGGAGTCGCAGGTGGTGGCTATAGATGACCCATGATTCGGATCCATATAAGAGAGTAGACAGCACAATGGCTCTGTAAACACTGATCTTTGTGCTTTTCTTCAAGTGTTTATTTCACCAAACTCTTTTATGGAGTTTTCCAAAAGCTCTCTATGCCTTTGCTAACCTGTTGTCCATCTCTCCGTCAATCTCACCATCCGAGGAGATGAGGCTCCCTAGGTAATTAAACTGCTGGACTGATTTGAGCTCTGATTGGCCAATGGTGATGTGGGGATGATGGAAGACTTCCTGAGGTGCAGGTTGATGGAGAACTTCTGTCTTCTTTAAGCTGACTTCCAGCCCAAAGAGCTCAGCAGCGTCTGCAAAGCAGGATGTTAAACGCTGCAGAGCTGCTTCTGTGTGAGCGACGAGGGCGGCGTCATCAGCATAAAGCAGCTCCTGGACAAGATGGTTTAAGGTCTTGGTGTGGGCCTTCAGTCCCCTTAGGTTGAAAGGGCTTCCATCAGTACGGTATCAGATGTAGATCCCGTCCTGATCCTCGAGGTCTGCCGTGGCCCTTTGGAGCATCCTGCTGAAAAAGATTGTGAATAGGGTTGGAGCAAGAACGCAGCCTTGTTTCACACCATTGGTTATTAGAAAGGGCTCAGAAAGTGCATTGCCATAACTGACTTGGCTGTGCTGATCCTCATGGAGTGACATGATTGTTTTAAGGAACTTGGGGGGACAACCTAAACGTTCCAAAATCTGCCACAGACCTTTCCTGCTCACAGTATCGAAAGCCTTGGTGAGGTCAACAAAGGTTCCATAGAGACCTTTGTTCTGTTCCCTGCACTTCTCTTGCAGTTGTCTGAGGACAAATCCCATGTCTGTGGCGCTCCTGTTGGCTCTGAAACCACATTGGCTTTCAGGGAGAATTCCTTCTGCTATAGCGGGTGTTAGTCTGTTCAAGAGTATTCTTGCCAGGATTTTGCCAGCAATGGGGAGCAGAGTAATACCCTGGTAATTTCAGCAGTCTGATTGTGCTGGTTTAAAGGTAAACCAGCAGGGGAAATGAACTCAACCCAAAAGAGAGATTATAAGTCAGAATAACAATTTCATAAAATAACACAATAAGTACGATTATACAGACAAACAGTTGGTTTTAACCCACAAAACCCTAATGTATAACCCAGCACCCTGGGGCATGAACAGAGTGGTGTTTGTTGGGCCCCCTGAGCCCAAAGTAAAGGGAGAGGGGAAAAACCCCTGTTGGTGAGAGTGGTGGTGCAGTCTGGTCAAGAGTGGTGGTTGCAGTTCGGTCGAGAGTGGTGATCTGCAGTCTGGTTGACAGTGGTGGTCACAGTCTGATTGAAAAGTGGTGGTTGCAGTCTGGTTGAAGAGACATCGCTGACATCACTGGCAGAGCAGTGACATCACAGGGACAGCAGTGACATCAGAGAGACAGCGGTGACATCACAGGGACAGCAGTGACATCAAAAAGAAAGTGGTGACATCACAGGCAGAGCAGTGACATCACTGGGGCAGCAGTGACATCACAGGGACATTGGTGACATCACAGAGGCAGCAGTGACATCACAGGAACAGAAGTGACATCAAAGGGACAGCAGTGACATCACAGAGCAAGCGGTGACATCACAGAGAAATCGGTAACATCACAGGGACATCAGTGACATCACAATGACAGCAGTGACATCACAGGGACATTGATGACATCACAGGGACAGGAATGACATCACAGAGACATCGGTGACATCACAAGGACATCAGTGACATCACAAAGACAGCAGTGACGACACAGGGACAGCAGTGACATCACAGGAACAGCAGTGACATCACAGGTACATCGGTGACATCATAGAGAAATCGGTGACATCACAGAGAGAGCAGTGATATCACAGTGACAGCGGTGACATCACAGGGATATTGGTGACATCACAGGGACAACGATGACATCACAGAAACATCGGTGACATCACAGGGACAGCAGTGACATCACAATAACAGCAGTGACATCACAGGTACAGCAGTGACATCACAGGGACAGCGGTGACATCACAGAGACATTGGTGACATCACAGGGATAGTGCTGACATCACAGAGACAGCAGTGACATCACAGGCAGAGCAGTTACATCACAGGGAAAGCGGTGACATCACAGAGAGAGCAGTGACATCACAGAGACAGTGGTGACATCACAGAGACAGCAGTGACATCAAAGGGACAGCAGTGACATCACAGGGACACTGGTGACATCACAGGGATATCGGTGATGTCACAGGGAAGTGGTGACATCACAATGACAGCGGTGACATCACAGGGACATTGATGACATCAGAGGGACAGCACTGACATCACAGAGACATCGGTGACATCACAGAGAAAGCGGTGACATCACAGAGAAAGCGGTGACATCACAGGGACAGCAGTGACATCACAGAGACAGTGGTGACATCACAGAGAAAGCGGTGACATCACAGAGAAAGCAGTGACATCAAAGAGACAACAGTGACATCACAGGGACAGCAGTGACATCACAATGACAGCAGTGACATCAGAGAGACAGAGGTGACATCACAGGGACATCGATGACGTCACAGAGACACCGGCAACATCACAATAACAGCAGTGACATCACAGGGACAGCTGTGACATCTCAGGGACAGGAGTGACATCACAGAGACAGTGATGACATCACAGAGACATCGATGACATCACAGGGACAGCTGTGACATCACAGGGACATTGGTGACATCACATATACATCGGTGACATCACAGAGACAGTGATGACATCACAGGGATATCGGTGAAATCAAAGGGACATCCGTGACTTCAAAGGTACAGCGGTGACATGACAGGCACAGTAGTGACATCACAAAGACATCCGTGACATCACAGAGACAGCCGTGACTTCACAGGCATAGCAGTGA